CACTCCTGCAGCCGAGCTTTGCTCCTTGACACTCCCACCCCATCAGTCCTTAAGGCTCATGCTTGGGAGGGGGCCTCTGCAGGTGACGCTGGGGGCGCTCCAGAAAGCTGGCGCTAGGACCTTGGCTGCGGCCACCTCTGCCGGGTGAGAGGCATCTGGATGCAGCTGAGCTCTTCCCCCATCCCCTCCCCTACGCTCATTAACAGGTGGAATCGCACCCCTGGCGCCTGAAATCCCTCCTGCCTCCCTAGAAACAAATCCTTCAGACCCAGAGCACCATCTGGGCGGGCTCCGGGGTCCGGGCGTTCGACGTGCCCTGTTGTGAGGTCCGCACCCTGGGAATCGGGGCACCCAAGGGACGCGCGGGAGAGAGCACAGCATGTGACGCCTCCTCCCCACCCCCACCCTTCTGTGCACCCTGCCGGCCGCACTGTCCCTGTTCGGCCTGCTCCTGGCCTGGCTTCAGCTTCTATCCGGCTGTAAGGCACACGGACCCTTTCTCCAAAAGCTAGTTCAGCCACAGCACAGACCGGGAGGCCGCGTGCGCCTGTCCCAGGGAGCTTAATTTTGGGGGTCTCCTTTATTCTGGAAGGAGGCACCAGCAGTTCCAGCGCCGAGAAAGTGTGGCCAGGGAGCAGACCTCACCCAGGAGGGATTCCTCAAGCCCCGCGGGGGCTGTCGACCCTGCCCCGCCTTCGGCTGCCTGGTCGGAGTGTGCAAGCGCCGCGCCTCCGAGCCCCCGCCCGCCGGGCGCGTTACCTGTTGGCTGCCAGCCTAGACGCGATGTAGCCGCCCGGAATCTGGGTGATGATGTAGCCCCAAAAGAAGGAACCGTGGATCATCCCCACTGTTTCCGGGTCCCAGTTGAATTTGGCTTTCTGTGCAAGTCGGAAAAAGAAAAGTGGAGAGAGAAGGAGAGTAGAGTCAGTGCTGAAGATTCACTTTCAGTGGTTCGCAGGCCAAAGAGCCCTCAACGCGCAGGGGCGCTTCGGGCATTCTGGGGATAGCAGGGGTGGTTTAATTTTCGTTTCCTAACAAAATCGCCTCTTCTTACTGAAAAAAACCGTGCTCATCAACAAAATTTATTGTGATTAATAGAGAGGCTGGGAGCCCTGCCTTTGCTCCCGACTACTGGCAGGCAGGTCGGATCACCCCAATGAACGAGGAATCCTCAGGGCCCCAGTCTTGGAAAATTGGACTCCCCATGACGAAATTTGTTAGGCAGATGGAGACTCTTGGCCGGGGTCCATTTAGTGGACGCAGTAGTGGAGTGACTTAGAGAATGGAATCCAACCCTCCGACCTAACTAGGAAAATTCTCGTAAAAGGAAGATGGGGAACTCGGAATGGAAGGTGCAGGACTCCGAGCGCCTGGGAGAAAAGCCGTTTCCTGAAAATGGGATGGGCGTGGGCCCGAAAGGTTTGGAGTCGCCCGGTGATTTGGGGGGAGTTAGTGGAGAGGGAGGCGTTGCTCCGGGGTTGTAATAAGTACGGGCTGGGTACGTCTGAAGGTCAAGGTCTAACTCCGCCCTGGCCGGCCTAGGTGGCTCCACGAGGTGAATCAATCTCAAAGTAAACCCGGGCGAACTATCTGCGTCGGAATAGTGAGAGAATTTATCCCTCGCGGAGAGCCGGGGACTCTTTTACTCCCTTCGAATAGAATAATATTTTGAAACCAAACTCATTTTGCAGGGTCTCCCGGACTCCCCTGGGGCCAGTGGCGCTCACGGCTCACCATGCACAGAGCTTTCCCTGATTGCTACCCCCAACCCTTGGTTAGTCTGGTTTATGGCCGCTCAGGTCCCTAAAACAGAAAGTCCGGACCCGAGGGTTTCTGTGACCTTGACTTGACCCTCCTCTCTCCACGTGTGACTCCTGGTGACCTGAGACTCTCCTGCGACTGCGGGTCCTTTCTGAGCCTGCGAGGTAGACCTCCAAAGACCCCTCCGCCAGACCTGCTGATGGGAGCACACCTGATTTGATTTCTGTTTTCGGTTTTGTTTCATTTTTATTATTAAGAATGTTTTGGCGGGAATTGGGGGAAGTCAGGGGAAAACAATACCTAAAAAGCTACTCTATTCCTCCGAGTAAAAGAAAAATATTTCGATTCTGATTTAGCGGGCATTATTAGTCACCAACTTATTGTATTAAGTGACTCTTCACAAAATCCTGGTGAGCTAGACGCTATTTTCCCCTTTGCAGATGAGGAAGGGAAGGCCCAGGCGGCGGAGGGAAAAGAGAGGGGATACTATTACTGCGGTCCATTCTAGAACAGCAGAACTGGAGAGGCGCTTTGGGAGCATCCAGGCCTTCCTCTCTCAGTGGGGGGAAAACGGGGCTCGAACAGGTCGTGTGGCTTTGCGAAGCCACCTGGCCGGCAAGCGGGAGCCAGGGCGGCCCAGCCGATGCCCACCTCCTTGATGACCTTGCCCCCGCGGTGGATGGTGCTGTTGTTGACCATGTCCACGATGGCCACGCCCAGGTTGCAGCGGATGCCGAAGGAGATGCAGAAGCCCAGGCCGCTCATGACCGCGATGATGTAGCGGCGCGGCAGGCCGAAGCACGTGCAGTCGCACAGCGGCGCCTTCTTCTCGGGCACCTGCAGGGGCTTCCCATCCTCCGTCAGCTCGATGGTCTCCCCGGTGTCCTGCTTCTTCTCCAGCACCCTGCGCGGCAGAGCGGGGGGCGGGGAGAGTCAAGGACGCAGAGGGTTAGGCGCCCCCAGTGCCGGCCCACTCTGTGTTGCAGGACTTGCCAGAGCTAAGGCGAAGGCCTCTGACCTCACCCCTCCCTCAGGGGTCAGGGGGGTAGGCGACACCAAGCTTGAAGACCTCTCGCGCTCCCTAGCATTCTGCCCTTCCCCCTCCCCGCGGTGGCATCCCTTCAATACCTTGAGGCCTAAAACCGTGAGTCCCCGTTATCTCGGGATCCACCCCTCCGCGCCTTGATTAACAAATACGGGCTGCTCGGGCCTAACTTTCTTGGGTTCTGCAGTTTGTCAGGGAAGGGGGTTACGGAAGTCTTCTCCGCACCTGTGTAGACACCTCCCCACCCCTCAGTGCCTTTCACCCGCGACTGCAGGTGTCATCCTGCCACCCCGCTTTCCGAGGCTGCTCCACCGCGGGCGGGCCCAGCCACAGCCCTGCACCCGCGCTGCCTTCTTTTCAACCAAG